CCTACGTGACTTTACCGAAAAAAAACCCTAAGAATATGAATCCTTGCAGTCACGAAAGCTTCAAATCTAGAAAGAAACATCATGTACACGGCCGGTTGAAGACCTCGCCACGCTGTGTCAGTCACCGGGTCTGTTTTCACCACAATCGCCCGTGTGGCTTGCTGAAGAGGGACAGTTCAGATATTGCTCGCCACTGATGTCGGGGAATCGAACTCGGGGTTCGTAAGAACAGCGGCGGCTCAACCGTCGCCTCTCCCGCTTCATCCCCTGCCGCGTCCGTGCCGTGAGCCAAATGTCAAATTATAAAATTGACTGCGGTTAAAAAATAAAGGACCAGTGTGTGTCCCTTATAAGATATGGCGGTGGTGCTGTCACCTGGTTAAACAAAGGGCATGGCATTGATTTGATATGGGCAGCAGGTGTGAGAACAAAAAAAGATAGTACCCCCCCCCCCCCCCCCGCTAATAGGTGAGTGCCTTGAATTCCATTGCAGAATGTCACCCGGACGAGAAGAGAAGACACGGTCACCCCGAAAAGCTTTCAATTCTGTTAGGTCACAATTTACACTGTGTATTACAATGCAGAAAATTGGAAATTTGATTTATGTAGCCAGAGAACAAACACTGTGCAGTGGAAACTTAATTTTAGTCCGCATTGCAGCTCGCCGATGCTTTCCATCCAACGGTGGCTTTTGTTCAAACTCAATAATGTATACTGATAGCACGGATCAGCAAATTCTACCATTATCCCAATAACCTTTACACGTCCATCAATCACTTTCCTTGGAATGTGTTTTTTATGTTTTCCTCGTTCACCATTCTAAGCATGGCTCGTGAAAGCAGCTATAGGCACAATGAGGTCACATTTGGCCGTAAATGAATCACCCTTGCCACTGATATCGCCTCTGTGGTTGGACGCGGACAGAATGAGAAATTTCTCCCTCCCTGCGTTTTGAATTAAAAATAAAATCCCCGGTGTATAAATATTTGCGGAATTCTTCGCTCTGTTCCGTTCATGATCAAACAACTGTAGCAGGGGCAGAGTTTGAAATAGCGAGGCTTAAACGTTTGCAAACGAAATGCCGTTACCTGGCAGCCAGCTGATGTCGTGTTGAGTTGAACTCACATCGTAGCTAAGGGAGGCCTTCTGTATGCGTTCTGACAGCAGCGTGCATTCAATGGAACAAAGATTCCACAGCAATCGACTCGTGTGCGTCTGTCTCTTCGCCGAGTATTCACTGCTGACCGTATAATGCCCATCATTGCCGAGAAAGGCGCAGTGAAATCTGCGGACTTTCTAAATAAAAAAAGAGCGCAATGACAAGGAAGCTCGGCCAACAATCTTGGATGTTTTCGAATGGTTTCGTATTCATCTTAAACATTTCCCAGTAAACTTAGTTTCGTACTGTATTCGCACTTCGGATAACTTCGGAATGAGTAGTTTCAGGATGGGAGCGATGTGAATGCTACAATATGACATTTCAAGTAAATAAATGAACGTGACTGGCTCACATTAATTTTGCATATATATATTTCCATGCCTCCAATGCATCGTTACACTTGTTATTCGAACAGCGCACACACAGCTGTGTTTTATAATTAACAGTCTGCGCACTTCAGTTATTTAATCTAAATTTTAGCATCTGATGGGAAATTATACGGCGAGGGTGTCCTCCGGTGTCCTTGTTGTTTTACACAAAAAGGCGATAAATAATCTTCACTGAGCGTGCCAAATAAATATTAATCTGAACAGAGCTTCGGCGCATTGTGTGCGTTGCGGACGCACGCCGCTGCGTGGTGAGCCGAGTGGAAATCTTTCATATATTATTTTACGTGAATATCATGTTTTAAGCTTTACACAAATTGTAAATGTAATCCCTGAATATCATATGCTGCGGCGTAGCATTCACAATTAGCGTAACTCACCAGTAATGTTCAATTAATATTCAAGTCATCGCGGCCAATTGTGGGCGACTTTAATTACGCTTCCCAATATTTTCCGCGCACGGAATGTAAATTAAGCGGTATTCGATAGGCTGGAGGGCAAGTGAGTTTAATTTCCATTGTATAAAGTCAACGCACTGACTCATCATCATCATCACTACCACCGCCACCGTAACCTAAAACGTACACACGATTCTGATTAATTGTCCCATTTTAAATGAGCGTCACATAAAATTCCTTACGTAGCAAGAATTTTTGCATTGAAAGTGATACTCGTAAATGTGTTTGGCCACAGTAAGTCGAGTAAAACTTTGCTATTTGGAAGGATAACAAAGCAAGAGATATACTGGTAGGAACCTCCTGGTTCCACCAGCCCACAGGGGATTATTGTGTCCGTCCGTCGTGCATCAAAAAATGGGTGGAGTGGGGTTGGGTGGAGAGGGGAGGGTGGGGAGGGGCTGAGTGGGGAGGGAGGGGCTGGGTTGGGAGGGGAGGGTGGGGAGGGGCTGGGTGGGGAGGGTGGGGCTGGGTGGGAGGGGTGGGGCTGGGTGGGGAGGGGCTGGTCACCCCGTGGTGCCCTTATAAAACTCAACGTTTAACCTACTCACGCCGGCTTGTGCCCGCCCTCACAGTCGGGCATATTTGCGGAATATACCACGCTGCTGTTGACCCTGGCCATTGACCGAGCAACCCAACGTTCCTACCAGCTCCCTTCACAGGAATGTGTTACCCAGATGGAGAGCATCTACCGGTTACAAGTCTCTTTTTGAAGGGAGACCTGTATAAGAGGATCCTGAGTCTCCGATTCGGCAGGAGAAATTAAAATGCCAACCGAATATTTATCTGTTTTGGAACATAAATTCATTGAGCTGCTCAGTTGGACTTTTTTCGCACCGCTGGTAAGCAACTGTGCTAACCGACAGATGAGTCTCAGTCTAGTAAATTTCAATTTTACGGATATAAATACCACCTTTAAAACACACATTTTTCTCGGAGCAGCTGTGCCATCCATTGATAATTATAGACAAAAATTAAACTCAACACATTCATCAATAACACTGCCTTAAGAGGAAACAGATATATTACAGCTAGGCGTTTTGAGCAATGGCCCTTCTTAATAGCATGCAAATACAGAAGCCAGAGAGAGTTGTCTTCAGAATTGTAAGTCCAAGAGGAGGCTGGGTGGATCAGAGATCAGAGCACGCATTGAGCACTGCTGAGTTCCTGGGTTTAAATACCGGGTTTCAGCCAGTCCAACGAATAATCTAGATTCTTACGTGTCAGTACGTATGTTAAACTAACGTGAAGTGAGTTAATTGTAATAATGGGGTTTTCCCCCTTTTTTCTGGCAACAAAACTGAAACCTTTCACACGGAATCATGTGTGCATTAACCACAACACTTGTGGTCAAGATGCAAACAAAAACACACTCTGATAATATACGCATTGTCCTTGAAACTGATTGATCCACACCAGAGGCGGATTTCTTTTGAGCCTCGTCTCAATTGGTGCTAGACCAGAGGACGCCAAAAGGCGTACAGCTCCAAGACAATGCACTATCGAAGTAATGAGGGCTCGGGGTGAGCATCTACATCATTAGACCTCCTTTGCCAGTACCAAAATATAATTTAAAAAAGGGGAAAAACCCTATTATTATATTTTGGTACTGGCAAAGGAGGTCTAATGATGAGTTCATTGTCTCAACCTGGTCACCGATAGCTACACGACAATCAAAATGACGTGACATTTTCTTTTCACCGTCATTTGGCAAAATTCCTGTTCTGACAAAAAAAGGACATCACTTTGACTGTCATGCGACAGACATATCTCTCTAACCAGGGTGTGGGGAAGAACAGCACCCCTTGGGCGTATGGTTAAGACACGTCACATGAAAAGATCTCAGCAGTACTTCTGTGATATCACCTTCCACAAGCCATTCCCTAACATGTGGTTGTACTCTTCTGCAAGAGCTTCAAATGGGTACTTTGTCTTGTAACATCATGCTCATAGCAAAAAATTGGAATGCCATTGTGGAAAAGCCAAAAAAGTAGAAAAGATAAAAATAATTATAGGTAAAGAGGACTATGGACTAAAGTAATTCAATATTTGCTTGCAGCAACTGTTAAACGTTATTATCACTGCACCTATCTAAAATTAATTCATATAAGCCCACATGCGTCTATTACCTGACGACAAGGGTAATATTAAAATAAATTACATGTAAAAAAAAGACCTTTCTATGTACGTCATTATAAGTGGCACACAGCCGTTAACACCTTTGCTAGAGAGCATTGAGTAGGGAATGTGTTTCTCATTTTGTATGATTCCCAAAAACACAACATTCGGGACTAGATACAATGCTTTGGGGTGATCCCCAAAGTGTTTATGTTTGGGAATGACGACACGACGCGGTGTCAATTCCATGACGTTACCATCCGCGCTTTTCCGCCAAAAAAGTGCGACACCAACAGGACGACACGTTAACATGTCCCATCGTGTTTGCCTTCAATTAGACAATTATGAACACGTTTGATGGAGCGTTTTGTTAACTATTAAGATGAATTGCTTCATATTTAACAGTATGGAAATTCATGACATTTTAATAATGAAAGTTATTAAAATGTCACACGTTTAATTCCAATCCCACGCCCCCCAGACATTGTCCAAATACTAAAGTAATCTGATATTGGGCCTAAAAATTCCCCCCAAAAATCTGGCATCAGAAAAATATGAAGTCGACGGTGATCCCAAGCATGCAACAAACCTCGCAATGTTATCCACTAACAATACTTATGGGTGCGCACAGCTGCTGATGGAACAGGCATTGCTTTCTTTGTTATGCCCTGTAACATTAAACCACTTTGACTGAGATTTCGAGATTCATAAAAAAAAAGAGTTGCTGGCAATTCGATGGAGATAAACTTTCGAAGCATCTCCCACGAAGTCATTTTCTGGTGGAGACTCAATGAGGATGTGTGTTCGTTCATTGTACCTGAAATTCACGGATGGGTGGAAAAACTGAAAAAAAAACATATAACAGACACACAATGACAAAGATTTGAACATTTCTAACTGGATTTATTAACGTATTGTTCACATATGTGCTGGTTACAGCTTACCACCGCGTATGATCATAGCACTGCAATTGTACACCTGAGATGGTAAAGTCTGGTGAATGAGAGATGTTACAAAGCTAGCCATTCACAGAAACATGAAGACCAGTAAACGGCATGCTTTAATGCTTATCCAAACCCTCAGTAGTACGTACATGGGCAGACAATTTCACTGATTTATCCTATTTTCTTTTCATATATCGTATCTATACATAACCGTACCTGTCAGCCACAGTTTCCTGTATGCAACATTAATATCGCCCCCCCCCCCCTTTGAGACATGAATAAAAATGCAAAAAAGTGCCTGCCCATGCTCATGGCTACAGTCAGTGGCAACGTGTCAGACGGTTTGACAGTTTTATTAATTGTCCGTTGCATCTTTTCCGAGTAGGGCTTTCATTTTGTGCAAGCTATTCTTGACCACAGCTCTTCAATTTTTTCCAGCCGCAAAACAAACACTGTTTTTTTATTGAAAAGATGCTAATTACCATTCGTGACAATGCCGCATTCACCTCCGATTACCAGTAAGCACTATGGGAGAAAAAAGTCCACAATGCGCCGTTTTCATGCCGTCCGCGAATTTCATTCATCCTCCTGTTGCGTTGACCTTGGTTGAACGAAATGAGCATCTGATTAACAAAAAAAAAACATCCACCACAGATTACTGACGCGTAACAGCAAAAATGATTAGCAACAAATGCGTCACTTCTTTTTTGTCATATCGCACAAATAATTTATTCGTTTTAATGTATTCCTAAAAAGCACGACTGACTATTACGACTGTGTTATAATGTTATCTTACATGGCACACGTGCCAAAAGCAGTTAAACTCTGTGACGTGATGAATGTACAAAGATAATCCTCTACGGACTGAATAAGATCAATCCCGCCACGCTACAAAGCATGCAAATTAGAAGTGAACAAGTGAATTCAAATAAATTAATTAAATAAGTGAGTGCTAAATTGCTTTGCAAATTTCAAATTGCTTTGCAACTGGAGCACTATTCTACTTAGGTGCTACTTAGGTGCTAAAGTTAACTGGTTGACGCTGATCACACCTGCTACTTTAATGAAGATCTGTATAACACAGATTCTGCTGCAATATTACTCTGGAATATGTGTAAATCCCATCGCTATGTAAATTCTGCGGTTGCCTGCATGCAATTCTCAAGAGCTCGCTGGCGAACCATTGCCGTGTGATATATACAGGATTGTGTTTTATTAACTGCGATAGAAAATGGTACAGTATTGAAATTTCCATTCGCACAATGGCAAAAATGTGCTTATTTCAGTGTGATTGGTAACTCCAATGCTTGTAGATCAGTAGAATCCACTGCGAACCATATATTTATTTAATGGCATGGGCCAGAGGGCACAAACCAAACGTCACACACTAATTATGTATCAGTGAAGTACTTTGTATTCTTGTTGAGGATTTCATACTGATATACGGTAACATGAATACATACTGTGGGATATAATACAACATTGTCTAGATCGGTATCAGAATCTATGAGTGAGGGCTCTAGTTTTACATATCTAATACAAAATAGGTCACCCAGCGATTTCTTCTTGGTCGATTTAGCGTTATTAAATCCTGCGATTTGACCTGAGAGGAGAGCGAGTAGGAACACTGGAAGAGACTTGAGATTTGACAATTGCAATAAAGCATGTGTAATCATCTGTATTGAAAAAAAAGTACTTTTGTTCAGAATGAACGATGGCTGCGATAACACTAATGTTTAAACGTACAGTGTGTTTAGACCTCGTTTAGTATTTCAAGATTGCTGAAATAAGCTGGCACTGTTTTTTGTTTTGTTCTATTTTAGCAAACACCGCATTAATTTTGCACGTAATTTTTCTTTCCCTTTTCTGTATTTTTTTTTTTACTAAAATAATGTCTACCCAAAAACACTTTCGTAAACCGTACACAAGGAGCAAGTTTTCTTTGCAAACATTACGTCCGCTAGACTTATTTTTCGTCTTTTTCTTCTTTTTATTGTTACCAGGTAAGGCCCAAGTGAGCTACGTAGCTCTTTGTCAGAAGAAACTTGGTCACGTGGGCATTGATAGCCGTCAAATACTCTGAACGCTTGATGTTGATTGGCAATGCGGAGGGAAAAACCGGAGGACCCGGAGAAAAATCCACACGACCACGTGGAGAACATGCAAACTCCAAATATTCAGCAGGTGTAAGGGTCAGGATCGAACCCGCCACCTCCTTCATACCAGGCAAGGTAGTTAACATCTCGCCAGCGCGGTGCCCCATTTACCTTCAGTTGTTGTGAGCGTGAGCAGGTTTTCACACAAGTGAGTGTTCCGCAAAAGGAACTGCCAAGAGTAGTCATCGACGATACGTAGAGTACAAACCGAATAATATACAGTACATGAATGCCAAAAAAACATCAATTTATTACAAATACACGTCAGTTAAAACTGCTTTCCATCTCGTATCGTTTTTCAACAGTGACAAAAAGTCAGGGCAGCGGGTTACAGATGCCATGGCACCACCTGGAATTGGCAAGTGTCATTAAACCCTCCGACAACACCAAAGGTCATAAGGACGGCTCTTGCACCTAAGCCGACATCCACACTGCGCGACAAGCCTCGGGTGGGATGCGGGGGTGACCCATCTCCCGACAGTCAACGTTCACACCGTCGTGACGGACAGCAAGTGGTTGTAGATCCGCGTGCCGTCTGGGGAGCGGCTGCCGTGGGCCAGAAGTTCCTGAATCGTCATCCAATTGTCGAAGATCTTCTTGCCACGCTTCTTCATCATCTTGCGGTGGCTGAGCTCCAGGATGCTCACCTCCTTGCGGCTCTCGGCGCCGGACGCGGAGGCCGACGCGGAGCCGGCGGCCGAACCCCCGGAGCCGGTGATGGAGCCGCCCTCGTGCGGGTTCTCGTTGAGGCACTCGAGGCGACAGCGCATCATGAACTCGCGGCGCCGACGCTGCTCGCGCGCCCGGTTCAGGTGCTGCTTGCGCTGCTCCTTGGACCAGTAGCGGCCCATCTTCATCTCGCTGAGAGCGTCGTCGTCCGTCGTCATGCCGCTGCGCTCCTCCTTGATCTTCATCGCTCGCTCTGTTGGGAGGTGCGGGGGACGGGGTCAAACGCAGCGACGGATGAAAGGATGGGCAAGATTGGATTAAAAAGTAAATACTTTATTCAAACTTTTTTTTCTTCTTCTTGGTTCTTTCGGTAAAGTCACGTAGAAGGGAAATAATAAAAGAATAAAAATAAAACATAATAAAATAATTCTCACGACGTTTCGGCCACAACGCAAGCAGCCGTCCTCAGGTGAAAACCAGGTCCGTCGAGGCGTCGTGAGAATAAGAGTCTGAATGAACACCACCACGCTTGGCAGCGTATATTTAAGCTGGGTTGGAGGGGGAATTATTTTACTGTTTTATTGTTTTATTATTTTATTATTTCCCTTCTATGTGACTTTACCGAAAGAACCAAGAAGATGAATCCCTGCAGTCACGAAAGCTTTAAATCGAAACTTTATTCACAGTTATGCCCGGGCTGTCTACCGATGTCTGTATGTATGCACGTTGAAGTTGTGCTGGTTACAGCTTACCGCCGCGTATGATCACGGCACTGCAATTGTACACCCGAGATGGTAAAGTCTGGTGAATGAGAGATGTTACAAAGCCTGCCATTCACAGAAACACGAAGACCAGTAAACTGCATGCTTTAATGCTTATCCAAACCCTCAGTAGTACGTACATGGGCAGACAATTTCACTGAATTATCCTATTTTATTTTCATATATTGTATGTAAACATAACCGTACCTGTCAGCCACAGTTTCCCGTATTCAACATTAATATGAATCAAAATACAAAAAAAGTGCCTTCCATTGCTCATGGCTGCAGTTAGTTCATCGTGCTAATCGGAGGTGTGGCCATCATGACGTCAGCCAGCACAGAAGAGGATGCCAAACACCCCCTACAGGGACTCTTTTGAGGCCCTTTCCCCAGCAGTGGCATGAAACGAAATGCAGGACTGCTGCTCTGCCTTTACCTGTGTACTTCTGTGAAACTAACGGACATTTGCGACAAATACTGGAATAGCTCATTGAATTCCTCCAGTATACCTACTATAATCACCCAGGAATGTCCTGAACGCTCGTGACGTCACTCCACGTCGACCAGCCCCACTTCATGAATATTAATGAGCAGGTGACGTCCTACAAATGGACACGGACACCCCCCCACCCCTCCTCATTAATAATCATGAGCGGGTGACGTCACTCCACATTGACCAGCCCCCCTTCATTAATAATCATGAGCAGGTGACGTCCTCCAAATGGACACCCCCCCTCCATTATTATGACCTACTATAATGAGCCAAGAATGTCTGTGTGCATCGCTCGTGACGTCACTCCACGTCGACCAGCCCCCCTCATTAATAATCATGAACAGGTGACGTCACTCCACATCGAACAGCCCCCCTCATTAATAATCATTATAAGGTGACGTCCTCCAAATGGACACCCCCCCCCCATTCATAATAATTAGCGGCTGACGTCACTCCACATGGGGGGGGGGCGAGGCGCCTCCTTCCCCCTCCTCGGCGTCCACTCACAACCCTCACTACAAAGGCAGAACCCTCACGTCACGTGATCTCCGTAACGCTGTTGAGACATCGAAGTAAAAAGGACGTCATGATGAACAAGGGATTATAACCTTAAAATTAAATACGTCCGTGTCACCGCGGCCTTACAAATTGCACACACATTGATGCAATGAATATCACGTCGCAGTTTGCTTTTCGCTTGCAAGTTTCAGATTTACTGCAATACACCCGTCCTTGGACAGGCAAAAGGCTCATAAATACATATTCTGTTTCTACGCCTGGATAATTCTGCTGTGGTGCAATGGTAACCGCACTGCACTTGCAATCCAGAGGTCACCGGTTCAGTTTGTTCTGCTGGTGCGGCAGTTGAAACAATCAACACGTTCATCTTCTTGGTTATTTCGGTAAAGTCACGTAGAAGGGAAGTAATAACATAATAATAAAACATAATAAAATAAAATAATTCTCACGACGTTTCGGCTACAACGCAAGCAGCCGTCTTCAGGTGAAGAATGAGACACTGCCAAGCTAGGAGCTTATATATAAGCTGGGTTGGAGGTGGAAAAAAAAATCAACACGTTTTTTGTTTAACCCCCTCCCACCAACCTCATCATCTCTGTCCACCCATCAGTATATAAGTGTTCACCGTGCCTAGTCGATCGGTAGGCCATGTGTGGTGGAGTAAGAGTGGTCACTCCCACCCCTTCCAAGACAAAGACCCTTGATCCCTTGTCTTACTCGGGCTCCTATTGGGGACATTTCCTCCAACAGTTGCACGAGCGAGTAATTGCGAGGCTGCACTTTTACCTGTTTGTACCCAGCCGGGTGGCGCTCTGGGGGCAGAGAGAGCGCTTGGTGCAATTGGAAGGTCATCTGAAAAGCGACCCGTGCAACTTTAGGTCAGTAAAAGAAGCACCACTTTGTGGGGGGAATTAAACACCGGCCCCATGCTATGAGAACGTGGAATTTCCACGGCTGGGTTCAGAGCCACCAGTGGAAAATGAGCACTGCCCGGAGCACAAATCAAAAAAAGTTTTCGCCGGAATAAGTTTTGGGGTCGGTATAAAATTTCCGAATCTCCCCGTGCAACTTATTAGGCTGCCCTTAGTTTTTTTTTTCTATTTCTACAGTCTCAGTTCACTTCTGAGTATATGCACAATTGACCGAGTGCATTCAATAGACTCAATGTACTTACTGGACTTTTTTCGGACGACCCTTTGACAGTCTCGCTGACAAGGTTAAACAGCTGGTGGAGACCTTTTCTTTGAAACAGGGCACGCTTACTCTATACCGTATTGATTGTATTAGCGGTGGAGGGGGGGGGGGGTGACATGGGAACGAGAATGCTCCTGTCATACCATCCCCATGCTTTAGTAATCACCCAATATAAATGCAGCACACAAAGCTTAAGTATGGCCATATAGGTCCAATTGGTGTGCTCCGTCAAACTGTTAAAGTGGGAGAAACAACATTTTTTTAAACCTCTCTTCTGCCCTCTTTTTCTTTCTCCCTCTTCCTCCCTTTCCCTTCACATTGTTCACGCATTGCTGTTGCTTCCTAGATCGCGACGAGGAACTGTAGGTTCTTCTGCAGGGCCACAAGTCGTCATCGCGTTCCCCCCCCCCCCCCCCCCCCCGGTTCTTGTGGCACGTTGTCGCCGCTGAGGTGGCAGAAGAGCCACACAGATGCAGCGAACGGTGGCGACGTCCAAAAGTACGCACCGGAAACGGAGCAGGTGCCTCCGAGTAGTGCGGTTGGCTATGTACGGTGCAAAAGAAGTTCAATATACATCATCACGATGTGTGGACAGGTGCCCACTACACATTCCGTCATTCGTTTACATTTTCCTCTGTCTTGTGCCAACATTCTCAAGTAGTGCCACATCTCCCTGGCACCAGTCTCTATGGTCGTCATCGAGCCACTCTCTCTCTCTCTCTTTCCTGTCCCTTCCACTTTTCCGATAAAAAAGAACACTTAAAATTGTCCTCTCGCTGTCCACCCTACACACAGTGCCCGTTTCCTTCTCATCTCACTGCCTCTATCAACATACAACATACATATAGTGTTTTTTTTGCTTTTATTATTTTTATTTTTTAAGTTATTTTTATGATTTTTTATTGTTATTGTTATTTTTTTCTATTAAATTTTATTATTTATATTTTCTATCTACGTGATTTTACCGAAAGAACCAATAATATGCACACCAATACCAATACCCGTCATTCGCCATTAAGCTACGGTGACATCACCACGGCGCCTGTGCCAGGCCAGGTGCACTTTAAGGCCACCTGAAGTGTCGAAGGCACGCTGACAGGAGGAGCTCTCGAGACAGACCCAAGTGCCATGGGTTGGCTGACTGAGATGACCGGTAGATGCACCACCTGTGCATCCCTACTGTGCCAACTAGATATACATACAGGACAAAGATCCCCTGTATAGCCTTAACAGACTGTAGGGGCAAGTGCTGTTAGCGAGCACCTATGAAGGCCGGAACGGTACACGAGGGGGTGGGTGGCCAGCACCACGCCCGACCGCCTTTGTCTCCCTAGCGGCGATGTTTACACACCGCACCAGGTACTCATTTGAGGCTGAGTCGACCTAGGGGAGGCCCAGATAATCGTCACAGGTATTTGCCGTGTGCGGGAATCTAACCCGGGTCGCCAGGTTCGTAGTGCAGCGCGCTAACCACTACACTACATAGTACACATATACACACACGCACGCAACAAAGCAATTGAACCTCCGCCACGTTACCTTTCAGGAGTCTGTCTCGCACGGGCCTCTTGGTGATGTAGCGCGAGCCGTCGCTGCGCACCTTCACCTTCCACTCGCCCCTGGGTTCGGCCTGCGAGAAGTCCTGCTGGCTGGAGAAGGACGCCTCGTTGCACACACTCAGGAGGCTCATCTGGCTGTGGCCGTAGTCGGACGACCCCTGCTGCACCAGGTGCACGTAGCTTTGGTAGTGCTGCGACTGCGACGGCGCGTTGGCCCGGCGGTACGGAGACAGCTGCAGCTGGGCCTGCTGCCGGCCCAGCTTCTGGTACAGCTGCTTGGCGCTGCCGCCACCGCAGCTGCCGGAGGCTCCGGCGCTCGCCGCGGCCTGAGCCGGCGCGACGTCGCCGCTCTCCGGCAGCTTTCTGGACGGCGTCGAAACCTTCCCCTTGGCAGGGCTCGCCTCCCGGCTGCCGGGCTGCGAGGAGCACACGCTGGTGGACGCGCGGCTGGCTCCGCTGTCCGACCGCTGGCTGTCCGTGCTCTCGATGGAGCGGTTCAGCGAGCGGATGGCCGTGAGCTTGAGTGACTGGGGGCTACTGCGGCAGCTCTCCGCCGTGTTGTAAGCGCTCGACGTGTCCTTGTCGGACTTCTCGGGCGCGTCCGTGACGTCCAGGCACCTGCTCCGCTTGCGGCCGTACGTGCGGAAGTTGCCGCCGTCCTGCAGCCGCCACAGGTCGCCGTAGTTGCGGGGGTGCGTGCCGGCGCTGTTGCCGTGGGCCTGCATGATGTTGCGGCATTCGATCTCAATGTTCCTGAGCTCCTCGTTGAGCAGCTCGATTTCCGTGTCGCCCGGGATCTTCGCGTCCACCTTGCCCACGCCGAGCGTGGACGTGGCGCTGTAGTACAGGCTGAGCCTCTTGGCACTCGTCATTTGGCACTTAAAATCCAGGAGTTCAGGCATTTCAGGAATGTTTAAATCTGAGCGCCCTGTTCTATCGCCCGTCCTGTTCCCGCACAACGCGTCGCCGGTGCCCTTTTTATCCCCGACTTGACTGGTGACTTTGGAACTGTCCGTCAGCACCGCGAAGTTTTGGTTGTCGTCGTCGGCAGGGATCTCTTGCTCGGGTTCGGAACTCTCGTTTTCGTCGTTGTCGTTCCGCGTGCTCTCGTCCGTCCGGCCGACGCCGCTGTCCTTCTCCTGCCCGTTGTGGGCGCTGTCCGTGGTCCCGTCGTCCTCCGGGGTTCTCATCTGCTGCTCGCGTGAGACACGCGCGCGCGCAACACACTTCATGAGGTCGCATTCATTATACACAACGTGCTTGCCACAAATGAACCACGACATCTTGCTGCTCTTGTTAAGGAACATAAACCCATCACGTGAACTGCGGTCATCCTCGCAGCAGCTTTTGGCTGACCATCGAACAAAGACGGCCACCACGTAGCGCGCTTACAGATGCGCTTCTGCGGCCGTCTGGAACGCTCTTCCTTCCGATATTGGGAAGCCACTGGAGCTATGCACTTTTAAATCATCTAGATTGAAAACAAATTATTCAAAACTGCTTTTTGCGTTTAGTTTGTTTTTCTTCCCGCACACCTCTGATTAGCGCGTTTGGCTACTACGGTGCCGAAAGAGTTCAACGTACATACAAACAAGCAAGCAGAACGGCTGCTCGAAACACGCTCTATGTACGGCGTGCGCTGACCTGCTGAGGGACGCTGGCGTTGACCTCAAAGTCCTGGTTGTCCTGCTCTTCCAGAACGTCCATGCTTATGTCCTCCAGATACTCGCTGCGTTCGTCCTCCATCCATCCCTCGTCCAGCTGCAAGCGGATAGAAGACAAGGCCGTCTGTCAGCAAGGCTGCTAAGAGAGTTAAAGGTCAGCTCTGTGCACGGTGCGAACGTGCACAAACTGCCTTGTTCAAGGGTAGTTTAACACAGTCTACCATGGTGGACATAGGAGTGGGAAGTCAGCTGTTGATATTCTCATTATCATGTCGTTGTCAATCTACTGCTGCATGAAGGTCTCCCAATACGGCTCCCACCTGTCACGGATGCTGGAATTTCATAATTCGCCCGACACCTACACACGCTGGCTTCCCACGAAAATAAGCACACGTAACCCTTTTCCCATTCCGTTGGCTTAGTGTACGTCATCGGAATGACTAAAATAAAATAAAGTCAAGTCGGAAGACATATTGAGGCTCCCGCAAGGCCATGCGGGAGGGCATGCGGCACAGTTTGGCGCCAGCTATCATAGAATGCGGTCGTGTCACTACAGTTCCCTATAGTGAGTATTATGTCTTTAAGAACAATGGCGTTACGCCTTTCTTATTAAAATGTACGCGAGCCGCTCGCACGTTCCGAAATTCAGTGGTGGATGGGACCCACCCTGACATTTCAGACATCTCGGAACAGGAAGGCGTAAAATTCTAGATAATACATAAACTTATTAGATAATTCTTAATTTTACCAAACTTTTCTCTAACCTCAAAGTGAGACAAAAGAACAATTTATTTCTCAAAATATAAGCATAGTAAAAATGTATCTTTATAGTTTTTCATATCAATTTGAAATATCATTGGTCATACCTATGCAACATCAAAAACCAAAGCTCCCTGGTGGCTTCCAGTCAAAATCAGTCAACACTTGTTCCTGTGTGATGACAATTGCTCAGATAAGTCCTGAAAACGACTGACTGACTGACTCACAGATGGACACATCAGGTTTTCTATCCATATATAAATGGGAAAGTAATGTCTAACAAAAGCTACATCGTCTGTGACACCGGATGTGGCGTGACGTTTTGTGGCCAATAACGGCAGATTGTGTTATAGCTATTTGACACGAGTGGCTTATCAAATAATGCACTCTTGTTATAAATATTTTGACATGGCTAAAGTTTTGCCACCTCGGATGGCTCCAATTTCTGCTGTAGCCGATGGACTAACACCTGATACTGGTTGCGATCGTGCAGTGCAGCGGAAAATTGTTCGTGTCTTGTGTGCCGACTGCCCGCAATTGATTTTCCCTCTGCATTAGGCCCCACGCGTACTTTGCGAAGAAAAGTTGCCAGAAATGCAATATACAATTAAGGAGGCTAATCAGGCTTTGGTTAATTTTGTGCTTTCATGATTCCACCTATCTGTTAATCTCCAAACTATTTTGAAGGCATCTGCTGTGCTGTGCAGTTTTCCTTGACATCAAGGTGGCAAAAGTTGGAAAAATTGTTCCTATTTATTTCAATTATCTGGTCGTGAATCCATTACTCTGCAACAGCTCGCATTGCGTTATCATCTTAGTGGTGGCGCATGACTTCTGCTCTGTTGGTGCAAACCCAGTCATGGAACATCACTCTGCTAATGGTTGCAAAGCAAAGATGCTGAAGAAAAATTCACCAGTCACCGGAGGAAAGAAAAACATCCTATACATTTAAATATTGTGCGTCATTTGCTTTCTTTCGTCTTTTAATCGGAAAATATGGTCTTTTTGAAGTTTGACAAATACCATAATATCCGAGTGACTCTTTCCATATTCTTTGGGTCTTTCAGGGGCCCCGTTTCCTGATGACGAACGCTTGTGTCGCGATCGGAAACGTCGTAGTTTTTTTTGTTATTTTCTTTGAACCTATCTACTTGACTTTACCAAAAGACCCAAAGAATATGAAGTGCCTGCAGTCACGAAAGCGTTGAGTCAAGATTTGACTCTTTCCAGGAAATAAAGTTCTCGATTGCATAGTTTTCTTCCTTCCTTTCATCACTTGCGTCTATTGAGTATGTGTTGCTGAGCCAAGGGCATTTTCACTTAATTCTTAGAATTCTAAAAAGGTTTTAGCTCCCGAGGGAGCTGGTGATGGGGCCTTCCATTTCCCGTCTCGGTGGGAGTGGGTGGGGGGGGTCCTTCAATTCTCCACTACACCCCTGCACTGCCGATTTGAGGTTGGCTTCTCCCATTCACGCATTCACATTGTAATAGAGTCTAACAAACACAATGTGCGGAGAAGGCCATGACCTCGCGGTGACTTAACCTAAGCACTGGTTGCTTCCGGTTGCAAAGTCTGTGAATTTCATTGGGGCGTTCCGTGTCATTTTCCCCTGAGCACGGTGTGGCTTTGAGCCCTCATCCTCTTAACGGATCTACTAATCCGCTAATACCTACATTCTAAGTCGCTCACTGCCCTGCCAAGGCGCAGTTCCTCCACGCGTGCATTAATGTTGCGCTGGAGGCATTGATAAGGCATTATAATTCATCACCTTTTGACACTCTATTGGCTATGGTCTAGGACTACTGGTTGGATAACAATACAGTACACAATTGGAAGTGAATTATAGGCCTCCGTGTGAATGTAATGGGTGTATTTTATGAACATATTGTAGGATTTAGTTGTTTCACCCGTCGTCAGCTGTGCATATTTGCAGTGCGTACACGTAAAACATTTAGGAATTACACGCCATCGTGATGGATTGTGGGTAATATATACATTTCACTGAAAAGGCAAGACCCTGTCTACGAGAATAAAATAACAATTTTGTCACCTTATGAGTCTCTGAACCAATATTTTTATTACGGGAACATTTATATAAACATACACTCTAGACCGTTCACAACTTTCTGAGTCTCATCAGCACGGTTCGGTCTGTTAAGTAAATGTTCCTGGATTGTCTTCTAGTTAAGGACATAGCCGTCCGGTCCAATTTTTTGCAAAACATATTTTAATGTCTTGCAAATAACTTTGCCGAGAGCGTTATCCCTTGGCCTGACTCACCTGCGGATAGGCATTTTATTACTTTGTGCAATCCCAGGAAAGCGGTCGCATCCCTGTCAAAGGTTTTATCGTTACTATGTTTGTTTTAGGCGAGGTTTTGTCAGAGCTTGAATAACTCCATATATTTCCGCCGAGTCGTATGCCCTTTCATAACCTGCAAAGCCTGGGCATGATGACATTTCGTATTTATTTGCAGAACACTATTAATAGTACAAATGTGGTTGATGGCAGAAAATCTTCCTAAATCTGTCTTGCTTATGTGTTCTGCTGCCCTCTGTATTGCCAACATGTTTCTTTCCAGTGATCTTCATGAACAATTCATACATGCCGATTGAATACTATTTTTTGTTCGAAATTTTTTTACATTTACTACATATGTACCCACAGCATAAGGATATACTCACATATAGGTTGTAATGGTACTTTGCTCATGCCCATCCACAGTCCACACTAAAATCGTTTCATTCCACGTTCAAACATTACTTTATAAAGGCACTGCTAAATCGGCTGTGTTTCACAACATTCAAAATCACGTGGGGCACCGTGTAAAGCCACAATTCCCAAGGCCTGGTCAGTAGAACTACGGTGTGCCGGCAATGTGGGAGATTGCAGACGAAAGGGTTAACCTTCAAGGCCTCGATGCCGTGATTCATCCTGGCGGTGTACGTAACGTGTGCGGTTTTTTTTACCTCGCCCGAAAAAGAAAAAAAAACCACAAGCAATATCTGTGCAAAAGATTGTGGCTTCTTCAGCCCCGTAGCCTGCACATGCGTAATGGCATTCCGACTGTAAGTGCCATGCAGGAGAATGATGCCTGCTGGCCTTCAACCGCTCATCAATTCACACCGCAATAGCGCGAGCGGCGGCCCCACAGGATGCACAGTCTATTGGGATGCAATAAGATATATCTTTTCTATTAAGCAGCTGAAGAAGTGGGTCAATCCCTCTTGCAAATGCTCATGTTTATGCCGGGTGTATTTTTTTTTTTACAGATCACAGTGGCACGGCGTTACAAGTTCAACCGAAGGTTCCGAAGGTTCCGAAGGTTAAGGTCTCTGATTGTGCTCATGCACACACCCCACTGTGTCCAGTCCCTAACAGCAGCCAACATTTTAGAGAGAAAAAAACAAATCGAATATTTCGAGAATGGATACATAAAGGGATGAGCCAGATGGTCTAAATTGCCTGTGCGTGTTCCATAAATGTGTTTGTTTGTGTTGTTTTTTCTTTCCCCCTTATCATCTCATGCCGTTGCCATGGCGCTTGGAGAAGGCAGACAGAACACTAATTGGGCGGCTTCTCAGAAGCAGCAGATTTTTTGCACTTTCGCGTGGTCAAAGCACCGAGTGAGACGCAAAAACTTCGCGAGGCCATGCAGCGACGCCTCGCCGTGACCCCGAGCTCCGGTGGATTCAGCGCAAAGTGACCGCGTGGGATGTGGCAGCGTGGAATAGGTCCGTACAGTGCTTAATGAGGTCACTGTGCCGAGGTGTGCGCCACGTTACCTGGATTTCTGGCCTCGCCAAGAGAAGAGACACCCTCCGATTTTTCTCATTTGTCAGAAGGGCCACTGCCTCTTCCCGCCCCTGAATGTCCACTCCGTTGATCTAAAAGCAACCACAACAACAACAAATGGTGTAAAGCCATCCAGCACATGAGCACGGCGTGAAAACGAGGCTCGACTTTCGCGTTATGCAGCGCAGAGCAACAATGCTTCGAGTTTTTGTTGTTGTTGTTGTATCCGTAAGTGCTGCTTGTATCGAGCGTGAATGTTGAGCTGTTGCACCGTAAATACTTTTACTCAAGTGGCGTCAACATAATGCGCACGCATTGCTTCACGAATTGGGGTGGTGGGCGGCAATTTGAAACGTTGCCGTACGCGCAACGTTTCAAAAATAGAGCCGCAAAAAAAATTTAATTGCGGCTCTCGTACGACGGTCAGATGGACACGTTCAGCGCCGTGCATTTCAAGGATGTTCCAAGGTGTTGGGGCGTCACGGTGGCAAGATCTTAACTCCCTCGCCGGGAATACACGAGGTCGTGGGTTCAATCCCGAACCTGACGATGCCTGTACGTTTAGAGTGTGCACGTGCTCTCTCCCCGTGGCTACGTGGATTCTTTTGCAGGTTTTCCGGTTTTTCCCTCCGCATTTAGAAACACGCGTTAAGATCATTTGGCCGCTATAAACTTCCACGTGAATAGCCACTTTGTTCATTTGTGGTCGGGTAGCTTTTGAAAAAGTGCTACAATAGCTCAGTGGGCATTACTCTGGTAAAATAAAAATTAGTTAATAGTTTAGATTGGTGTCATTTCGATGCTCTGGTAGAGTGTGCCAGAGTGAAGGGCGTTGTTAAATGCACCATGTGTTGCTACGAGCATGGCAAGTTGGTGCTGTAATTGCATAAAATACATTGCAAACATCAAGCGCCATTTGAATGCTGCTACCTTTGTTAAGGTCATTAACAGAGCAGCGCATGCCGATATTAGCAAAACATTTGTTTGCCGAATAGCAAACGGACATGATTGGCCGTTGTTTTTCATCATCACAATCATCAGCCGTGATCTATCCACTGCTGGATGAAGGCAGTGCCACCCTAAAATAGAGTCCACAGTGAAGCATGGTAAACGTACATGCTGTACCGTACGCGCATATCCAGCAAGGAATGTGTGTCTCCAGCGATAATACTGGCTGATGTCCTAGGCGCTTGTAACAACTCCTTAATTGACCAGCCGATGCACGATGGCAAAACCCCGTGCATCATTTGTCTCTATTTGTCCGATAGAGTTATTTGATTATTATTCTTATTATTACTCTTATTTCTCTCTCCCGGCAAGATTGAGCAAAATCGACGAATTCCATTGCGCCGCCGTCACCGTCACTGCCGCCAGCGACTCGGAGCGCCCCGCATTTCCACTTCGCCTCCCGAGGCCGCCGGTAATTCGCATGCACGGCACGCGCGCTCGCGTCTGCCGCTGATAAAGTCGCGCATGAAGACCCCACGGGGCCCCCCCTCTCCCTCCTCCTCCTCACCACCACGGCTGCCGTCGCACGGGGCATGGGGACAGCGCCGGCAGTTCGGCAGGCTGCTGTCCACAACCCCACCCATTCCACACCACACCTGTACATCACACCCCCCCTCCACACCACACCCCCCACCCTCCACCCCCCTCCACCCCACACCCCCCCTTCCACACCCCCCCACACCCCCCCTCCACACCACACACCCCACGCTCCACACCCACCCCCCTAACCCCCCCTCCACACCACACCCCCCACCCTTCACACCACACCCAGCTTCCACACCACACCCCCCCTGCACACCACACCGCCCCCCCTCCTCCACACGCCCCATTCACACCACACCGTCCCTCCACACCACACCCCCCCCACACTCCCCCCCTCCACACGCACCCTCCACCCCACATCCCCCCCCCTCCACACCACACCCCCCTCCACACCACACCCTTCACACCACCCCCCCCCTCCACACCACACCCCCCATCCACACCACCCCCCCCCCCCCTCCACACCACACCCCCCTCCACACCAAACCCCCCCACACTCCCCCCCTCCACACGCCCCCTCCACCCCACATCCCCCACCCTCCACACCACACCCCCCTCCACCCCCCCTTGCACACCACACCCCCCCTCCACACCACACCCCCCTCCACACCACACCCTTCACACCACCCCCCCCCTCCACACCACCCCCCCTTCACACCACCCCCCCATCCACACTACACCCCCCCTCCACACCACACCCCCCCTCCACACCACACCCCCCTCCACACCACACCCCCCATCCACACCACCCCCCCCCTCCACACCACACCCCCCTCCACACCACACCCCCCCACACTCCCCCCCTCCACACGCCCCCTCCACCCCACATCCCCCACCCTCCACACCACACCCCCCTCCACCCCCCCCTTGCACACCACACCCCCCCTCCACACCACACCCCCCTCCACACCACACCCTTCACACCACCCCCCCCTCCACACCACCCCCCCTTCAAACCACCCCCCCATCCACACCACACCCCCCCTCCACACCACACCCCCCTCCACACCACACCCCCCATCCACACCACCCCCCCCCCTCCACACCCACACCCCCCTCCACACCACACCCCCCCACACTCCCCCCCTCCACACGCCCCCTCCACCCCACATTCCCCACCCTCCACACCACACCCCCCCTCCACACCACACCCCCCTCCACACCACACCCCCATCCACCCCCCCCCCTCCACACCACACCCCCCTCCACACCACACCCTTCACACCACCCCCCCCCTCCACATCACCCCCCCCTCCACACCACACCCCCATCCACCCCCCCCCCTCCACACCACACCCCCATCCACACCACACCACCCCCCCCCTCCACACCACCCCCCCCTCCACACCACCCCCCCTCCACACCACCCCCCTCCATCCACACCACACCCCCCCCCTCCACACACCCCCTCCACACCACCCCCTTCACACCCCCCTCCACACGCCCCCTCCACACCACCCCCTCCACACCCCCCACCCTCCACACCACCCCCCCTCCACACCACACCCCCCTCCACACACCCCCTCCACACCACCCCCTCTACACCCCCCACCCTCCACACCACCCTCCACCCCACACCCCAGCCGCGGGTGGTTTGGGGGGTAGAAGCGGAGAGTGAAGAGGCACCTGCAAGATGCGATCGCCTTCCCTGATGCGCCCGTCCTTGGCTGCGATGCTGTTGGGGTCGATCTGCAGACACGGTCGTGTGCGAGACAAAGGGGGTCGTGTGGCAGGCGGCCGTAGTTGTTAGTGTGCGCGCTGGGGCTTGGGGTTGGGTGGAAAGCAATGTGTTGGCGGTGACTTTCCTTTGCCCTGCTCGGCCACTGTGGAGCAGATGTGCGTACTAAAACAAAACAAAATCCATGATAGAGGTTTTTGGGTTAGGTCGCGTAAATATATAAATGTGTACTCTTTGGTTCTTTCGGTAAAGTCACGTAGGTATAAAATAAAATAAATCACGGCGTTTCGATCGCTTGTGTTGCGATTGAAACGCCGTGATTTGTTTTATTTTCTACCTACGTGACTTTACCGAAAGAACCAAAGAGTATGGATTCTTGCAGTCACGAAAGCTTCAAATCAAGATATAAATGTGTCGTTAAAACCGCCACCACCCGACACAGCCAACTAGTAAAGGTTGTCACGTAAACAGAACGTGACCAATTCGTCACTAGTACAGCACTAGTGTGTAGTGTATAGTGTAGTGTATAGTGTAGTGTACTAGTACAGCACACCGGTGTGTTGGAGAGCCAAGCCACAACATTTACAATCTGAGTACGACGTTTCGCCAGTAATTACACCTAGCTTCACCAGGCGACAAACATATTTGTGGAGAAGTCTTACTGTTTCGTTCCTTATATAGTAGTGTAGATGTGGTGACCACGCTTCTGCGCTCTTGCAAAATGTGGGGGTAAGGCTCACTGAGCTATATAGCTCTTTTTATCCGAAGCGGCCTGGTCATTACAAATGAAAGCTCAGCAAAGTGGCTTGTCATCACGTGGATATTCAATTAAAGGCCAAATACTTGTAGAAAAGTCTCCACGACCACGGGGAGAACACGCAAACTCGGAACGAAGCAACGACCTCCTGTATACCAGGCGAGGTAGTTAACATCTCGCCACCGTGGAGAGACGTGATTTGACTTTGTGTGTAAAAGATAAACCTCCGCTAAATCCTCTCCCCCAACAAGAGCCCTCCTTTGTTGGGGGAGAGGACTTCAGCCGTGGCTCTTACACACTGGACAGGCACAAACCCTGACCCCGCCAAACACGCGACCTGCCCATCGGCTGACTCTGGCGTTCGCAGAGTGGACAGACGCGAGATACGGGGGGGGGGGGGGGGGGTTCACATATTGAAGAAACTTGCTCCATTTCGTTTCAACTTCCGCACCAGGAGATTGAACCGGTAACCTCTGGATTGCAAAGTGCAATGTGCGAGCCCGTTGCACTATCCGCTGTGTGTATATAAAAGGCAAACCAAACGGTCACCCGTACATCCCGTGTCAGGCTTTTAACAGACTGTTGCCGCTGTTGTCCGCGTGCACCCATCAAGGCCAGGAGTTGATGGAGGTGAGGCCAGCGCCACTTGCAGCCGCCTTTGTGTCTCCATCACACACTCCACTCGATACTCGTTTGAGGCTAAGTTGACCCAGGGGAGGCCCAGGACTGGTTCAGATATCACTTGCAACTGATGTGAGCTGGGGGTGGAAATCAAACGCAGATTGTCGGGTTTATAGCACGGTTCACTGTCCACTCCTCCACTGTTAACCAACGTTATATATTTATATATATATACACACACACACGCGCTATGATTTGTGGAGTTCACAATCTCAAAAGGTCAATGGGAAATTGACATTCTATATATAAACATATGGGGAAGATTTATCTTTAAAAATACGTGTTTTGGGTTGTGTTCTTCAGCGAAGCGTGTTAATTCATCGTCATAATCAGCCGGGGTCAATCCACTGCTGAATGAAGGCCTCCCTGAGCCGCCAACACATCTCCCGATCCTGCGATGCAACAATCCACCAGGCGCCTGGACTGATTTCATCGCTCCATCTCCTCGGTAGCCGCACTTGTGGACGTGTTCCATTCTCTGACAGCCGCTCACTATTCTTGACCAAGAGCCATCGTCCCCCCTAGCGACACGTCTTGCCCAAGCCCCACTTATTTTTCTGAGCAGTTTTAATTATGTCATTAATCCTTTCCTCTTGCAGGGTGGGGTCACGTTCACCGCTGAATCACGGAACGCGCCAGCGGTTCAGCGTTACATTGAATATAGAGAGGCGTGGCACCGTTGTTTTTAAATCCTTTATATTAAGTTCGCTTGCTTGCTTGCGTGCTAGCTTGCTTGCTTACGACCGTGCAAATCTTTCAGTCGTTTTTTAACCCACTTCCCGTGATCTAATCGAGCTGACATTTTGCACACAGACTCGTTGCGTGAAACAATGAATGTTCGTGAAATTTTTTTCCAAAATTTTACACTGTTTAGGGAGAACAAATTAAATATTTAATTACCAATTGCTTAATACTGGCAGACAATCATCTGACCCATAGGTGGCAGCCATCTCAAGCCAGAGGACGAGAGGACTCTAGCCGCCACGAATATAAAGGATTTATAGTGAAAAACTTTGTTTTTACGGGTTATACTTATTTAAATATATTGTACTCTCCGAAGATAACTGTAGTGACACGACCACACTCTACGATAGCTGTCGCCAAACTGTGCCAAACGCCCTCCCGCATGGCCTTGTGGGAGCCTCGGTACTGATGAAGCTATTTTATTTAAAAAATCCGGTTCTGTTACGATGACGTACGCACATGTACACATACGTCGTCGGAACTGGAAGGAGTTTTAATATTCTAATTCGTGTGTTCCTCTTTTTGTCTTTCACTGTACTTGCAAGCGTGCATCTCTCCACGCTTCATTGTGCAATTGTCAGTTTGTGTTCTATAATTTTCATAAATTGATAATCCCGATATTTCTGAACCATGGCAGGTAGTACTGAAAATAATGGAAAACAAAGCTTCGTTAAAAATCTATTAAATTTACGTTACAATTATATATTCGCCTCTCGAAATTTCCTTTTGCTATGAGAGACTAATAATGTGCGGAAATAATGTAATTTCCTCCTGAGCATTTCTGCAGTGATCGTCATCGACTGTTAGCAGCTCTGAATCAGTGATAGAAATTCCACATTACTGTGGAAACACCGAGTCTATCCATCCATCCATCGAACAACCACTTTTATCTACATCAGAGGGATGATGGGCTGAGCTAATCCCTCATCAGGATGTGAACTCACAACCTTCTGATTGTGAGCCACTCACACTTCCGCTGAGCCACCTGACCGGATGAAAAAAAGTTATCTTTGTTAAATATATTATTTCAATTTCACATTCAAGTTTGTGGTCATGCCACAGAGAAAGCCCATTTTGCAATGACCCTGAACTCATTTCTCAGTGCTGTGCAAGAACTGTGTTTGTTATCCTTGGCAGCAGGCACACAAATTAAATGATACTCAAAACGAAATGGATAAATGTCCGTTCACTCTTGCATGATGACTAGCCCAGCCCTGCCTCCAGCGCTGTGTAATCAATCTCAAAAGACCGTTTCAGCACACACACACACACGCACACACCATTCCGAGCGCTTTATTAAATGTACCGTTAACAAATTACTTATTTTGGAGCAGGTAATGCATTGTTTAGATATATGTAAACACACACGCGTATAACACGCGGAGGAATGGTTAGCACCCTGGGCTTCCAATCTAGAGGTCACCGGTTTGATTCGATCTCCCAGAGTGGCAATGAAATCTCCCACATCTGTCAAGCCAGCAGCATAAATAGCTGCAGTACAGTCCATCGGCAGGATGCTTGCATGCTGCGGGGTGCATAGCAGGTGTGCAGCGGTTAGCGCTACGCTGCGCTATGAACCTGGCGACACGAGATCAATTCCAGCTTATGGCCAATACTAGTGACGATTATCTGATCCGGTTCTGGGGCTCACCTAGGTCGACTCAGCCTTAAATTAGTACCTGGTGCAGTGCGTAATCATCGCTACAAGGTAGACAAAGGCGGCTGAGATAAATTCCAGCTTATGGCCAACACTAGTGACGATTATCTGATTGGGTTTTGGGGCTCCCCTAGGTCGACTCAGCCTTAAATGAGTACCTGGTGCAGTGCAGTAAACATCGCTACAAGGTAGACAAAGGCGGCCGAGATCAATTCCAGCCTATGGCCAACACTAGTGACGATTATCTGATTGGGTTCTGGGGCTCCCCTAGGTCGACTCAGCCTTAAATTAGTACCTGGTGCAGTGCGTAAACATCGCTACAAGGTAGACAAAGGCGGACGGGAGTGGTGTTGGCCACCCACCCCCTCGTGTGCCACAGTGCCGGCCTTCAATAGGTGCTCGCTAACAGCACTTGCCCCAACAGTCTGTTCAGGCTATACGGGATATATTGTGTCTTTGTGAGTACTTTCACCATTCCCAAGGTGTCTGGCGAGCCTGGAAGAGTAGACCAAATACCTTATAGAGGGCGTCTCTCTCGGGTCCCCTCTGGTGGAGTGCCTATCGCTGGCAGTGGCGTGAGTGAGCAATTGCAGTGCTGCGCCTTTGAATTATATATATATATACCCATGCAATAGCTTCCAAATAAGAGCACAGTATTACTAAAATTCACATCAAAGGATTATGTGGATGCACTGCATGTATGTGTTGTATAAAGTGATTGAGTGTTTGTATATATGCGCTATTGAATGAAGTAAGGTTTGGATAACAAGCTCATCAATTTAATTGCTAAATTCCAGTGTGGATGCAGTGGCATAATCTAAATTAGTAGTAAACACTCGAATATCCAATTAAGTACCAAGTGGCTAATATGCCAATTAGTAAATCATGCAATTTATTACACCCCAATTAACATTTTTTTCGTCACTCATTTGGCTGCCCCCCAAAAATGTAACTGGGGGAGCAGTGGTGCAAAAAAAAAGTCGTAGAATTATAAACATCCCATATAGAGCCTCGCTAATGACAAGAGTACGCCTTTGTTGCCATTGATTTTGAGGTGGTTGTAAAAATATAAATATATAAGTGGGAATGCTCTCAAGAATTTGCTTCAAATGTGTTTGATGTTAGAGAATACGGTCATTTCCCCTTGTTTGGCAAAAAAGAAAAGCAACTGATGTATTGAAAGTGTTCTCGTGTAGATCGAGGCTCTCCGTAATCAATTGAAATTGCTCACGAAAGTGTGGTAGCGTATCGTTGTTTATTACAGTCCTAGGCTCACGAAACGCTCCTCTTGTATTTCACAGATGTCTTAGGAGACCCCCTGAAGACATATAAATGCCCACAGAGGCATTATGCAAGGAAGCAATGGAGTATCTAATTTTAAAGTTGCTGTGTATCAAATAATACGACGGCAACAAATTGTCACGCTATCAAAAAATAGATTTGCTTGCGTTAATAACGTTAGAGACATTTGGATTGCAAGCATTGCACATATCTATTCTGCATATATTGCTGGCTGCTCATGGCTTGCGGGTGATGCATTGTTTCTGGCTGTGAAAATTCCCAGCCGCAGTTTATTTTCGCTATTGTTTCTACTTGCTTTGGGCTGAATATCAGTTCGGTGACTTATTTCCCACCGTGCATCGGCCTGAAAAAGCATCTTATTTCAAACATGTATTTTATATCGGAAAAACAAGCGAATATTTCGTTTGTGTTTTGTAGCACATACGAGAGAAAGAGAGAGGATTACCTAAATAAATACAGCCAATGCTGCCATTAACACACAAAAAACCCATCACAATTACACGTGTGGACGCTCCCAGCCAGTGGAGGTTTAGTTACATGCCTTGAGTGGATGGTGTCTGGCTGGTATTGAATTGCCTTAATGAGACATTTGCATGATTTATGTGGCGTTGCTAACCGTTGGCTCCACCGAAGCACACGGATGCAACGCTGTATGTCACGGGCAAGTGCACATACGGTGCCACTTACATCGCATGAACAAGGCGTCCGCCCACTCAATTTCCTAGGTGAGTGTTCGCGATCGTAAGGCATAGCCGAACCAAACAAAAGCACAAAGGGATCGTAAAACGGACACGCACGGCCATCCAGTTATCTCGTACTGCGTCCCTGATTCGTCTAGGAGCACGTGGATTTAAAATGCTCGAATTCAGTTTGCTGCGTCGCTGATTTATTAAAAAAAAAATTTGGTCGCGAACGCTACCCCTCTCGCTATGAACGGCGATGCTCTTCAATGTGTGTCCTCGCAGACGCACCAACTGTCTTTATTTTCCACGTCAGCCAATTAGCTCACGTGGCGCCTCATGCGCTCGTTTGTGATGAAATATTGGTCTCGGTGTTGTAATGCACAGGAGGTGGTCCAAACGTTCTGAGAACAAGACACTCGGCAAAGTCTAACGAAGTCGAATTTGTACTTTAATATTCAAGTAGTGTGTGTATGATTGAGTGAGTGTTAAGAATGTCTATCCGTACTGATAAAAATATGCATCAACTTAATTCCAATTCTGCATATATTAGAACGAAAAATTGCCACTGGAAACTAGGCGTGTAACAATAAATCACCAGAATTTCAATGAGCTGCCACGAATCAGGTTCACGATTGAAGAATTACGTCTTGTTGTGTCTCATTTTATCATCTCATTGGTCGGAGTTCAAGAAACACCATTTTTGTCTCAATAGTACCGTTTTATCCACACTGTTCATCTAAAACTTAGCACAATTGTTACAACGTGCATCAATTGGAAAATACAAAAATCTTAACACACGTGGTTTAATGTGTCCCCGCTTGAAAATTTTTGACCGTGCCCCAATTTCAAATCAATTGGTATCCCACGTACAGCGTCAGTACATTAATTTGCCAATTGATTTTACATCTGAGTATGAATGGACACTATTGGCTGCCCTTTTAAAGTTTGAGTTGGGCTATATTGTGTGTGGGGAGGGGGTGAGGGAGAGAGAGGGTGGGAGGCGAGGTCTAAGAGGTATTGGGAGTTCACAAGCCTACCATGGACAGCTCCAACACTGGCACTCCTCTTTGTCATTTCCCGCAATTGTTTTTAATTTATTCCGATTTCTCTTCTTGAGCAGCTGGTCTCAGAGGGCGGTACCTGGACCAGCACCGGTGGTGGTCTGTCACGCACCTCCAGGTGGTGCGCGGGGCTGTGATGTAAACGCAAGTTGCTCCGGAAAATAATAATGGCAACGTTTATGCCATTTTGGTTTTCGGTAAAGTCACGTAGGTAAAAAATAAAATAAAATAAATGAAAACAAATAAATTAAATCACGACGTTTCGGGCGCAACACAAACGTCCTTCTTCAGGTGGGGACAACGTAGCGAAAGGACAACCGCTTAAGTGTGTCTAAGAGATGGCTGTGACGAGGCATGATATAGTCGCGGGGGGTGGAGGGGGGGGGGGCATGGTGAGTGTGTGGGTGGGCTGTGGACTGAGAGGCAACGATGTGAGGAACGGGGAGGGCGTTGGGAGGCAACGCATGGAGCTCAAACTGAAGCTTTGTGATGCAGGGGGCGGAAGTAGATAAGAAAGCTCAGGTTAAGCAGCCTTTTGTTATGCTGCCGGGGGGGGGGGCAAATAAGAAATGCGCAAGATGAACCAAAGAGTATGAATCCTTGCAGTCACGAAAGCTTCAAATCTAGAATTTATGCCATTTGTTTCGGAGGTTAATGAAATGTTTTACTTGTGATATTTAATTTCAAAATTAAGTTAGGTAAAGTACATCCATGAACCTACCCTAAGCCTAAGATCTAAATGCCCCCCCTCACCCCCGAGAAAACACCTTCAAGCTGTGTTTATGTTCCAGTAATATAATTAATTCTGAATTGCTGCTATTTATAGATAAGTGTATGTATGTGTTTTGTCATCAGGGATGTGCGATCGGTGGGAAATGTTTACATCGGCTGATTGGCCCGCGGGCCAAACAAGTTTGAGAAACGCCGCTCTGTGGCATCTTGCCACCAGACGGATGTCACACAGAGCAGTGCAAGCCTTGCTTGGTGGAGAATGACCCACGTAAGTGGATGTCACAGAGCTACTTCTGCAATCCCTTCACGTGAACCTCTGGTCCACACAGTAGGGCACAGGCGAGGGGGGGCAGCAATCGCCCAGCCCAACCTGCTACGCGAGAGCAATGTTCATCGCGTCACAGTCGAACCAATATTTTTATTTATCCAAATTTTGTGCAAGTACCACATTGAATGTGATGGGATTTTCTTGGGTGGGTTTGCGTCGCCATTGACGAATCGAGGACCATCAAGTCACTGCACTTGTGAACCCGGTTTGACTCACAGGCAGCTGCCTGGATTCGCAACCCAGGACCTCATCAGTAGCAGCTTCGTGCTCTTCAACCTCTGAGCCAACTGAGCCACCCGGCCGCCTCTCGTACGTTCAACAACTTCTTTTGCACCGTACATAGTCAACCGCATGAGTTGGAGGTGCCGGGGTGGAAGGACAGAAAAATGAACGCGACAACAAGCAGTTCTGAAGAAACGAGAGAGTGTTGTTGTGACGAGCACCCACCTCGCTGACGTAAATTCCCAAGTCCTCTTCCTCATCCGTGCGGTAGCACACAGTCAGACCCAGCTTTTCTTGCCTGAAGATCCGGTACAAAGCCACCTCCTGGGGAATTCACATAATGAGCCACTGGATGGATGGCGCGCACGCGGTCGGGATTGTAAAAGTGAAACAAAAATAAAATCGTTCCTTATTCTAACAAATTGCCAGACCTGGTAGGGCCATCGCGGGGAGACGATACAAAGTAGGGCGAATTGTGGATGCACGTGGAGTCCTTCACCCACAGCCTGTGTCACCCACCCAGAGCTAAATATGCATCATTTACAGAGGTGTCATTTTACACGAAAATCCGTGGCAAGGTGGAGTAAGCGAGGCCTTGTACGCTGGATGTATCTATTTATCTGCTTATTTATTTATATTCTCGACGTTGTTCGTAATCTCTAGCGGCAGTGTCGTGGGGGATATAGAATGGTGAGGTGGGGGGGGGGGCGTGGAGTGGGGGGGGGGGATGCAGAAAGGTGGTAAGGCTGCTTCAATGGTAGAACGAATTCGAGGAAAGCGTTCTGGTGTCGTGCTTGTGTGTTTTCTCCGGCGTTACGACTTAAATGAGTGACCGCGGGTTCAGGCCAGGCACAACTGTAGGGGATATGTCGCCTCGCACGTACCCCCAGAGCAGATAATCCACTGCAATCCTGTTTTAAAATCGTTTTGCACCGGCGAGTGTAGTTAAAGATGTATGGATGGCTCATTGTAGGGCAATCTTACTCCCTAATCCTTAGTGGCGTGATGGGATCTGAATGGACACGATTTGAGGCTGAATTCATTTCCAGGTTGGCTGTTTTGTGATACGTAACCCCTCGGCACGCGACTGTCAGCCGTGCAGCTCGAACAAGGTTTGTCAAGACTTCTTGGTTCTTTCGGTAAAGTCACGTAGAAGGGAAGTAATAAAATAATAAAAATAAAACATAATAAATTAATATAATAAAATTATATTATGTTTAAAACATAATAAATTAATATAATAAAATTATATTATGTTTAATTTTTATTATTTTATTACTTCCCTTCTACGTGACTTTACCGAAAGAACCAAGAAGATGAATCCCTGCAGTCACGAAAGCTTTAAATCGAAAAATTGTCAAGACTTGTTCACTCACCCTCTGTGTGTGTACATGTACTAATAAGCTGCGGAAGTAGTTTAAAAAAACAACAACTAAATATTGGTATTCATGGGATTTTATTCACAGTGTGTACCTTTAATTGCATATACAAATTCCACCAAGAGGGCCTTACTCGAAATGAGCTGTCTCGCAGTAGAGCCTCCAGAACGGATGTGCAAACGTAAAATAAATAAAAAAAATTCACATTGCGTAGTCAATTTTATAACTTCATATGAAGCTATACACACACACACGTATATATTTATTTAATTCAGGTTCCATGGTGTTAAGGGCAGTCTCCAACTCACATCCACATTCTCTCTCTCCCAGGCTTCTCTATTTAAGTGCTATGAAGAAGGTCCATTGCCCAAAAAGTAACCTATAATGTATTTGTTCTCTTGAGGCCACAATGATTTTTACGAATGTGTTTAGTTCGTTGCGATGTGTCCCTTGTGCACCATTGCCAATGCATTATCAACTAATTTTGTGTTTGATAAACATATTGCGGATGAGTTTCAAACTCAAATATTTAGGATTCATAGGTGTTTTAAGGACTGTTAGGATCTCGTATCATTTTCTAGGATTTTCAAATCATTTACATTACGTAATTTTTCGTGTTTTTTTAATTTTAAAAAGTTGACAATAGCAATGCCATATGATTCCCCTATTTTGACAGGAGAATTGTGGATGTGACATCACGGAAGTGACGCCACCTATTGTGACATCACGTTTTGGATCAATCCCAAACAAAGACAATTTTCGGATCATCTGACATTTCATATCAAACTCCAATTTTTCTGACTTTCAGGAATAATCCAACAACACACACACGTGTCGACGCGGCAAGGCATTGCTTAAAGGGGCCGTCCATAAATGACGTCACGAACCTGGGGGGGGCTCAGACATGTGTGACGAGGGGGGGGGGGTTGAGTAATGTGACGTCACATCAAAATGTGCAACTTATAAACAACACGTTCTACCTAATTAAATAGACTTTCTTATAAATGTTTTCTCCTACAACATCAGAGTGCAGCGCCACATTAACTACGCACTACAATGACAATAGTTTAAAGCAATTTGAAGCATGTTTTATTTTCAAAGTGTTAATATGATTTTTTTTGGGGGGGGGCAGAGCTTTTTGACGTCATATTCGAGGGGGGGGGGTCTGACTTTTTGTGACGCCGTGTGACAAGAGGGGGGGGGGTAAACAATCGTCCAAAATCACGTGACGTCATTTACGGACGGTCCCTAACACCGTTCTTCAGTTTGGCAATTTTTTTGAACAATTCGGAACGTGCCCCCCCCCCCGCCCCCCCTGTTTCTGAGCGTTCGACGACAAACTACTTTCCTGAGCTGCGCGGCTGAGCTGTACGAGACAGTCCGCGGAAGGATACAGTACGTAGCAGCACCGTACTCTCATCTCAGATCTTTGTCTCGCCGGGAGATAAAGTGCACGCTGAGTTTATCGTGCAAATGTGATTCGAATTCCCATTATTTATTCATACCCCGTAGCGTATATATGGTAATTCTATGAACGCGATTTCACTTAACGTGGCACTTTTTTTCACGAACGCATCTACCGCGTTTTAAAACGAGGAATTACTGTACATGCAGTCTACTTGTGACAAGTATCAAGATTTTCTTATTTTCAAGTGGCTTTAATATCACATGCCATGAGATGCAACTCCTCGGTTCACTGATGATGGGAATCATACAATTTTTTTAAGCTTTCATCGGATGGCTTACAGCGATTTCGAATAATAAAAGTCTGAGCCTGCACGATATGTGGAACCAATCAACTGCCAGGACATACTTTAAGGGGGTGCCCACATTTGAAAGTTTTTGTTTAATAGCTGTAAGGATAATCTGTGGTACTTCTGGAACATCATTAAACTTGACATCACACCGGTCGGTCACAATTATGGGCATGCATATAATAACTGGACTGTAATAAGAGTGACCGCTACATTCACAGAGGTTGGAGATCACGGAGATGAATCGTTATATCTTCTGTTCCATGAGCGTGCTGAGCTGTGATGGGATTTGAATTCAAGGCCTCCTGCCTGCAAAGAAATGCCCATTTGATCCACTCGTTCGCCACACGGAAGTGTTCTCTTGAGAGAACAAAAGTGCCAATGTGTGCACATTGTTACTCATTACGTACACTTATTATTTATTGTTCTTACGCATGTATGAAGATTAAGGTGCAGCCCTGCAAATGCCTGCTTATGCCACTGCTGGTGGATGGCCTTCCACTAGAGGTAGCTCTAGAGAGCCAATCTAGAGGATGTTTTGGTCTACTCTTCCAGGCTGGCCAAACTTTTTTTCTTCTTCTTGCAATCTACTGAACAAGGTAGCTGTGGTGCTACCCATTTATATTCCCGGGAGGACAGAAGTAGGGGAATTCGTGAAGCTTTCCCGTTGTTTCAACTGCTGAAAGATCTATAAACGCACGCATTTGAAGAAGAAAAAAATTAACCCGTAAAAACAAAGTTTTTCACTATAAATCCTTTATATGCGTGGCGGCTAGAGTCCTCTCGTCCTCTGGCTTGAGATGGCTGCTACCTATGGGTCAGATGATTGCCTGCCACCATTAAGCAATTGGTAATTAAATGTAAAACATTTTTTCCTAAAAAGTGTAAAGTTATGGAAAAAAAAATCACGAAAATAAATTGTCACGCACAACGAGTCTGTGTGCAAAATGTCAGCTCGATTGGATCACGGGAAGTGGGTTAAAAAACGACCGAAAGATTTGCACGGTCGTAAGCGCGCAAGCAAGTGAACTTAATGTAAAGGATTTTAAAAAAGTTGCCCTGTGGCTACATCTGCAGCGCTGAAGTTATGCTGCCTGCTGCACGTATTTGATCGTACGCTTATGATTACTTTAAATCAGTGGTTCTTAACCTGGAGTACACGCACCCCTTGGGGGTGCGAAATACCCTCTGGCGGAGTGCGAAACATGGCAGGTACTTTCTTTTAGCAGGTAAAACATCGAAAACACTAATTAAGCACGGCCATGTAAGTGCACCTACTTTGTTACATCAACCAATGGGGTGCAAGGCTGCAGTAAAGGTATAGCAACCACTGGCCTATAAAGCAACAGGGCAGTCTCAACCTTTGTAGCCCCCCACCTCCTTCCTCTTCAAGGCCCCCCCCCCTTACTCCCCACCCCTTGCTCACGAGCCCCCACCCATTCTGCTGCAGGCCCCGCCCATTCTGCTGCAAGCCCCGCCCATTCTGCTGCAGGCCCCGTCCATTCTGCTGCAGGCCCCGCCCATTCTGCTGCAAGCCACGCCCATTCTTCTGCAAGCCACGCCCATTCTGCTGCAAGCCCCGCCCATTCTGCTGCAAGCCACGCCTATTCTGCTGCAAGCCCCGCCCATTCTGCTGCAAGCCCCGCCCATTCTGCTGCAAGCCACGCCCGTTCTACTGCATGCCACGCCCATGCCCCCGCCCACTCCTCCGATCACGAGGGTCGGGGTTTGTTTCATTTGGGGCCATTGGTCGTGGTTGAGAGGGGGGGGTGTTAGAGATGGGGGCAGGCTTCGCCACGAAGACCAACATCCCTCTAAGAGGCAGCAATATGATAGCAATAGTAACAAGTACAATATAGATTCAATGGACATTTTCACAGCTAAAGCAACTTATTTAGAAAATTAATAATTACCAGACAAATACAGGACCACCCCCCCCCCCCCACATGCTGGTAACAACTAATATTTCTGGAGACTTTCCCGAACAATTGAACTGCTCCATTACCTCCTTCACCAAGCTCAACGGCACTCCACAGAACTCGTCGATGATTTAAAATTGTATCATTAAAAACAATCCATCCGGACACGGCATGGACAACCCGCGTGGCGCCACGCGCGCCACGTGCGAAGCTCTTTGAGACCTCGCGCAGTCTCTCTGCCGAGCGCTGGCTCCTTGCTTGCCTCCCCTCTG